TATATATATATATATATATATATATATATATATATATATATATATATATACAAATGTTGCACATTTAATAACATTTTTGACAAAGCTTAGATATAACGTATATTAAATGATCGATTTTCTGTCGACAATAATAACTTTTATCGATTATATTCCTTGAAGGATAATTATCTGCCCCCACCTTCTATAATACCGCAACTTCCTTCTAATCCATCTCTTATAATATTTAGCTGTAATATTCGAGAAATATTCTCGCTGACTGTGACTAGACAATGCTGTAGGCAAGATGAGAGAATCTTTTGAGATCCTGCGGTTGCAAGTGAACGAGATACAGAATGATTCCTTGCAAGAGAGAAAGGAGCGCCTATATTTCCCTTCTCGCATCACCTTTGTAGGACAAGGTTACATAAGCGGGGAGGGCTACAGTGTGGAGGTTTTTGACCTGGTTTCACGGAACCCTGATTTATATCTATCATACTTCGTCTCCATACATATAGAGATATATACAGTAAAGCCTATTAATGGTAGCGACTAGGAAATATACTGGAAATCACAATATTTAAAACCTAAAATAAATTATTTTTATTTCCCATACTCTATCTCTATCCCTATGGAATAATAAACGCAATCGAAAAATCGGATGGAATGAGAAATTCTGAATACTAATTGCGATAACTGTAACAATATTGCGCAGCAAAACATATCTCGGTATATTTGAAAAAATGTCTTATCGTATAATTTGCAATTTTTTGGAAAAAAAATAATTGGAAAATAATTTGCAATATATCTTGAATAATATATTATAAAATAATAATAAATAATATATTATAATTTAAGATATATGAAATGCATAAGCGATATTCTTTTCCTTTCATTTGATTTCATGAATATATTAGCAGGAAATATATTAGCAGAAAATTTGAAAAAAGTCGGCATTCTTCTTTAAAGATATTCAGAGAGAAACTGTTGACATACTATTACAATACATTCTATTGCATGTTGTCTATATGCTTGCACATGTATTATGTCCTTTTTTGGTGCGTGCATGTGTGGCGACGCATCGCTCCGTCCACATTTCGCTTCTCGACAGAAAGAAACAGTTCTCGCGTTCCTTTTGTGTAACCGCCAACAGATCATAAAACCTTCTCTCGTGGAAAATTCCACAGGCAAAAGCAGAACGAAAAAGAGCCTCCCGGGTCTTTCCTCTCTCCAGAACGATCTCTCTCTCTCGCAATCTTTATAACTGCTATAATGCATTTTCATCAGAGAAATCAATTCTACAAAGTGCAGCGAGAATATAACAAGTGATATATGACAAAAATTCACAACACATTTTGTGATTCGTTATTATATGTATATGTAACAGTATTATTAGTATATCGTCATTTTAGATGATACGATATATCGTCATTTTAGATGATACGATTATATTCAACCGTTAATTTTCTTTACAATTGGCAAATCGAAAACATTTTCAAAAATTAAATAGAAAATAAATTAAGGAATTTTATTTCATTAATTCTAATGGAATTGTGACAACACATGCACACACATACATATTATATGTTTCTTTTCCTTTCCTTTTACAATAATATCACGTCAACGATGGCGATAGTACCTTAATTGATGCAATTAACATGCTGTCCACACTTGAAATAATCGTCAAACAATTATTATGCATACAGCATCACATCGAATTATCTCGATACGCCTTTCTTCTTAATCATGCCCTTGTAGAATTGTTAAAAATAATCGGTATGTCTTCTGATATATCTGCACAATGTGCAAAACAATTTAAATTTACTGTAAACTTAATACATTTAATACAACCACCCATTTCAAATATTTTTATGTGCAAATACATGGTGCTAGTTTCGTATTCCACTCATTCCGAGAACCAACCGAGAAGGGTGATAAACGAGCGTGCAACGCATGCATCCATTTATGACGGCTCGTTTTATTTTTTTGAATCATGCAATTAGATCGACGGCCGAAATTCCGTATGGGGAACAAGGACATGGCATTCTCATAGTGCCTCATAGTGGTGCTCAACGCCTCATCACGACGATGATTCATCATCACGAGACGTCGCGTGCACGATTAAGCTCATTGAAAGCGAGACCGCCTCGTGACTTCGATGATCGAACCCGCGGACTTCGATAATCGTCGCGCGCGAATGATGATGATGACGTGACAACGAATCCTGCCGCCGAGTATTAGAGTTTATTTTATTTCAGCGGAATTTTGAACGCACTACCTATGAACGACTCACCTGGAAGTTGTAATTGGAAGTCATCGAGCCGCGCTTACAAAGCGCGCTTTAAATATCGCAAATATGTTTATCGCGACTCTCACATTGTGGTCAACTATTTAGCGTCGACTTTTAAAGAATCGACTTTTATTGTAAAAGAAAACACAAAATACAAGAAGATGGAACCAATGTGCACCAACATAAATACTTCACATCAAAAAATCCGCATAGTAAAAACTTGACCAACGATTACAACAAATGGCGAGTAGAAATGTAAAAGAGACTAGTCATTAACAAATTTAAAAACGACATTAAACTCGTTTAATGGCTCTGGCTGAGATGTTATTCGGCTACAATAATTTATAAATGAGATAGAATTCTTCTTTTTCCTTTCGCGTGCAATAAATCTGCCAGATTCTAAATTTATCAGCCTGATAAAATAAATAAATATAATATTGCCTGTATTTTAGAATTTAAAGAACACAAGTTACATATTATAGTAAGAGTCGAGTTTGAAAAGAATCATTAATAAAATAAATAGCTCGCTCTATCCTTTTTTCAAGTTTACAATCTTTAAAAATAATTATCTGACTCTTTGGAAATCTGGCATCTTGCTAGCGACAAAAGAGCGACATGTGCTTCTCGTTGTTTTGCCTAATCACAGCGCGTTATTATGCCGTTCCGGCACGGACTAACGCGTAGCGTGGATCTCTCCATCAGTCATAACTGTCTCGGGATAAAGTAACAACAGCGGACAAGCGTGGATTTGACGACGGAAAGAGTTGTATAATGCATGGATCCCAGTCTAGAAAATGTGTGGTGAGCCACTCCCATCAACCCGGTTCGAAAATAGAAAGGACCCCTCGCGTTCCCGTCCCTCTTCTTGTTCCTAATTTTGCGCGACTTTAACAAGTTTCCGTTCAATCTTTATTACTTTATTACTTGTTTTGATTTATATTTTGTTGTACACGAAAGAGTAAAGAGGTGCCATTATTATTATACTTCTATTACTTTTTCTAATTTCAAGTCAGATAGCCTTATTATCTATACGCATTTATCGCGCTGGTCGATAAATTCTTGTCGCCTCGCGCACATTCCAGTTAACGTTGGTGTCGAACGAAGGCTCGACTAGTGAAAATCGCCTGTTCGCCAATCCTCATACCAACAACAAAGACAAATTTTTTTCACTTGATAATGTAGCAAAAACTTTTCCTTGCTCGGAAACTCGTTGCGTAATGTAAAAATTGGTGTTTAACGATTATGGCGATTATGTGTTGCCAGCAGAGCAAATACATACAAATAAAGTGCGTCGTAGCGCTCAAGGTACGACTGACGTCACAGTAATGTGCAAAAAATTATTTTACAATAAATTAGCTTAAATATCATTACTTAGGTTCACAACTTGCTTTATCCCGAAAGGGTAACCGCTATCATAAATCAACGTAGTCTTTCACGACTTGTATAAAATTCAGCCATGTGTGTAATCAATATTAATAAGAAATGTAAAAAAATTTTACTCGTGGAGACTTTTCGTTCAATAATCTGTCTTTTTTTTTTCCTTCTTAAAATTTTGGACGAATGCGATATGCGAATTATCGCGACTCGTCGCGAAATGTCGATGTGGAACATGGTACGAGATAGGTTTCCGCGTGGCCTCGCGATCGTTACTCTCGGCAAATTCGATCCAGGCTGATCCAAGCCGAACCAAACTGATCCAGGGTGATCCAAGCTGATCCAGGTGCAGCACACGATCTACGTACCTAGATTCCGAATCGATCGTTCGATGCGCACCACTCGCGCGGACAGCAGCGCGGCCGCACGAGCCACGACCGGACCCACAGTCCGCTCTTCGATTCAGACTCCGCTTTTCCGCGCGTTACGTGCTACGTCTTCGGTGCGTGATGCGTGGTGCGTTTGCGAGGACGAGGGTGAAGACGAAGACGAGGACAGGAAAGGCGGATGACACGCGCGGTTTATCGTGTTGGGTTATTCACGACCAAGGCACGGCGCGACGATCATGCGCGCAGGAGCAACGCCGTTGACAAACTGACTGCCGGCCAGTCGGCAGTCGGTATAATCCGGAATGGGCTTCCCTTGGGAAACGACGTCCCTCTCGCTCGCTCACGTTCGTCGTTTACTCGCTCGCACGCTTGCCGCTCCTCGAGCGGAGAAACGAAGAGAGAGGAGAGAAAGCAGTAGCGGGAATCGAATATTTGCGACCAGCCGACCAGCCGGCCGGCCGGCCGGCCGGCTGGCCGGCGGCCGGCCGATCGGCCGATCAGCCAATCGCGTGGATCGATCCGGGTTCCGTTCCTCGAAGCGAGTTGACTCATTTCTCCAATTTCTTCCAAATATTTTTAAATTTAAATACTTTATTATTCCTTTTTTCCTTCACATATTCTTAGAGCAACGTGTATCGCTGTTATATCTACTGTTTTCCTTCATTCAACCTTCGATAATCGGATGCGTATTATACACTTACATTTGCAACTTTTATTTGCGAATTATTCAGAGATGAAAAAAACTCGCTTGAAGATCTGTTGAAGAACTGTTATAGATCTGATATTGATTTTTTTTCGATTCACTCTTTTCCCAGTATTCCACCTCGAACAATAAAAATAAGAAAACGCGTTAGACTAGACGCATGTGAAATGCCGCTCCTACGAAACAAAGGAAAAATGTTTCTTGTCGCGCGTGCCTTTATTGCACTTCGAAACTTTCCCGCATTTCGTCCAGTGTTCGTGACGTGGTGCGATCACTTATCGTCATGCTATTTCGATAAGTTTTCAGTGTGCAAATACGTGTATTCCTTATGACGGACAACGAATTGGGTCGGTCGTGGAAGGCTCGAGAAATCGAATTCTCCCGTGCGGCTTTTAATGAATATACATCGGATCCGTTTGTCCCATTTTTTCACTCGTCATCTTGTACTATCAACCATACTATATGTAGATTACCGGGCGGCGTATGCCGCTGATCACGTATGCATGCATTTGCAACAAGTATTTAGAGCGCCTCCACTTTGTAAGCTGCATATGCATTTATGCAAACTTCAGGATCAACGTAACGGCATGTTTATATGGCACGGTTTTATAACGTTTAGGGAAACAACCTCGATTATATTTCCTCACGGTATTTGTCAAATTTCCAACAAATTTTCTTTAAATTGAGCGCACTCCTTCAAAGAGTGAACGATCGATGATGGAAAGATATCTTGAAATGCTCTGTCCACATTGAGAGTAAAGCACGCGAACGATAATACCACAATAAAAGCTAACAATGCGTTAAACGTATTCGCTGTCGCAAATTGTTATCGATTCAACAATAGAGTATAGGTCGTTACGACGCGTTAAATCATCGATGATATTGTTCCGACTAGCGATACTTGATGATCCGATTTTTTATGATCCATTCTCGATATGATTAATTTCATATTAGTTTCGTATGCGAGCATGCCACGCAGAACTCGTGCCCGCATCTATCGCATCGTTACGTATCGTTAACGTATTTTGATCAGTAAAGTCAATCCTATCTATAAATAAATTATAAAATAACGACAGGATTTAAATATGATGAAATACTTTAAATAAAATGCGCAGTTTTACCTTATTGATTTATTATTTCCGTAAGATATTCTCTTGCTAGAAATGTTTTCGGAATGAGATAACTATGATGTCAGAATAAAAGAATGTACAGATCGTGGAAGGATTAAGGACCGAACGTTGAGGATGTTACGAACAAGCGAATATTAATACGTCCGTTTAATGTGATACATGAGGCATGATGATACTATCGGCTTGGTAAAGACAGTGATCGTTATATTATTCGTGATGATGATAATAATATAT